TTTTATGACACTTTTTGCATGTAAGTGCATCACTCAATTCCTTTAAAAACACACAACAGGTATAAGAAATGGAAATATCTTTGGCAAGCATGTCTTCATCATGTTGGTTTAGTGCACTACTGACTATAATCTCATCCATGTTTTTTAAACAGGCTGTTTTTCTTGCATAATCTGGTTAGTTTCACCTTTTTCCATTGTTTGGACGCTTTTTATTACTTTTTCTAGCTGCTGTTCTGTATTTATATATACAAATCTTAGATGTATTTCATACTTTGCCAGTTTTTCCATTTTGCATTCTATAGAATGCCTAGGAAACGTGTGAAATACAAAACATTTCATACATTGCCGCCTAGTTTTAGGCATTATATAGAATGCCTAGGCATGCTATAGAGTACTGGATTTCACACTTTGCTGGTAATATATATATAAAAAATATATCTGAGGATATTAGAGTAAAAAAACAGTTTTTTTATAAAAGTATGCAGAATGCTCATTCAAACAAAATGATGTTTGAAGGTGTAGACCCTCAAAAAAATAACATTAATATCAAAAAATAATATAAAATATTTTCACAGAAGTATTTTTGGTAACTAATTAACCAATCTGTATTCATTATTTTCATTAGTCCAGTTAGAAGCAGTTTGTGCATTTGAGCATTATTAGCCTTCAATGCTTATCTCTTTGATAAGGACATATACAGAATATGTGAAGTTATCTCTCCACAATTTAGTGCACAAAGTCTCTGCTTCCAACCCCTACATGCTATATACACGGTGCAGAGTTTGAAAAAATACTTTAGATGTTATGGGATGTCTATCTTAACACTCTTTTTGGGAAATGATGGATCACTTGGTTTATTGATCTGTAGCAGTTTCAGCACTAGCTTGTCTTTGTTTGTTGCCAATCAGTGACTAAGTAACTAAATCTTCAGAATGCTAGTAATTCTTCCAAGCTTTATTCCGAGTGGTGATTAGGGTGGCTGCACAAGTTTTTTGTGGTTTTTCCCACGTGTGCTGTAAACAGGCCATAGTTCATTTTAAATTTTCAGTTAAGTTATTGCTTCTCATAAGTAGTTAGATGTTGTCTGTTTGCCATCAACCTTCAGTGATCATAAAGGAGCTCAGCTTGCATTCCAGTTACACACTGTAGTGGCACAAATGAATAAACTTCACATTGCAAATTTATGATTGACAGATAACGTGCATATTTGGTAAGAAAAATTGCTTACTCTCATAACTGCCAAAGGATTAATCAAATTATACAGTCTAATTATTTAAATCTTCAGGACACATAATCTATAGTTAGAAACTTCTGATTTGCAAGACTGCAGAAAGATTTGCATTCAACCATGTCTGACTTTGCACTGTTAGGAATTGAGCACTCTCTAGTACTAGTTGGCAAGTGTTATCTCTAAGTCATTACTAATACTTTTTTTTTTTTTTAGATTTCTTTCTTTACTCTTACCACAAAATAGTTACCTACTCTAGGCTTTGCAACAGCATAAGTTGATATAACCCAAACTGCTTTCAGTGTTTAGCATGACTCATAGCGAGAGCAAATTTGGTGAAAATAGTACAGTCAAAAGTCGTTAATTCGGACACCCATAATTCGGAATGATCTATAATCCGGACCTCAAATCTACAAACTTTCTGCGCATGCGTCAATGCAGGCGTTCAATGCGTAATACCTTTACGCATGCGCATATGAGTGTGCGCAAGTGCAGAATACTTTTTCGCGCGTGCATTTTATGTATATGGACGTATATAGCTAAATATTATCTATTTCAGTTAATGTTGATGATTGCGTTTCCTTAATTTTCGAATTGCATCCGGCTTATTATTTTTTGCAGACTGTAGAGCATTTTTATAAAAGTAGCTTAAACTTTCGATTATATCAATAGAATGTCCGATATATATTTGTTAATACGTAAAGGATCTAAGCGAAAGTATGTTTTGAAATCCGAAATCTTTTATTCAATTTCACGCTGCTCGGCGGCGGGCGCGTAAGAATTGGAAGTTGATTTGTCAGCACATCTTATCTTCAGCGCAGATGTTTTATTTATTTGGCTTATTTCCTTACCAAATGTAGTATTTCATCTCGTATGCTTCGTCTTTGATATGATTAAAACAAGTTCCTCGTCATTATAATTCGCTTCCGATAGCGACAGAAAAGTGACAGAGGTTATTGAAACAAAAAATTTCGATTGACAAATTAGTCGTATTCTTGACACAGCAATTATAGGACTTGAACGGCGGAACTTTGTAACTGAACAAGAAATAATAAAGAAAAAGAAAGAAAAAACTAAACAATTACATTGAAAGAATGTTTAAATAAATAAATATTAAGCTTTTTCTTTTTGCAAATTTGATACCTTAGATCATAATTGTTCTTTATTATAAATTTACGGTTTCATATTTTTAATTTATAATTCTGCATGCCATCTTACGAGATTTAAACTGATGATCTATAATCCGGAAAAATCGATAATCCGGAATCGCCGAGTCCCGACGAGTCCGGATTAACGACTTTTGACTGTATTATGCTAAGTAAGTAATTATTTTCTTCATAAAAACCTATATACTTTAAATGTATGAAGGAAATTATTACGGTATATATATATATAATCTATTTGTGTCTCCCCCCTTTCTACTATCTTTCTTTTATTTTTTAAATTTTTAATAATATCTACACCATTTATTAAACAATTTACCCCCCCACATCAGATGTGAAAAATTGCATTAACATGTATCTAATTTAGCAATTTTTATTCATAATTTCAATATATTTAATATTCATTCAGCTGTGTCTAAAAAAATTTTTTTATTCTATTTTATACAGTTCTGTGGACTGTCTTTCACACTTTTTATTTTCTTTGTTGTCTGTTTAGAAATTCGTCAAAAATATATCATAAGTATAATTTGAGAAGAATGAGTGCTGTCATGTAAAGTAAAATAAAATGTGATTTTACAGTTTCAGTGTAAATAACTTTTTCATGTTATTGTGACTAGTTTCAGAACTGTAAATTTTCAGAGCATTAGAATATAATTTTATAATGAAATTATTTGAACTATTTATGAATTGTAAGAAGATTTTGCAAAGCATACCTTTGTAAGCTAACAGTGATCAGCTGATTTTGAGATGTATAAAAATTTTGCCTATGAAAGAAATAGGAGTCTTCTTATTAGTATTCTTCATGTAAAGCTGAGTTTGTATGATCATTGCCTTTTTTTTTTTTAAGTAACTGTAATAAACAGAACTTTATTGATGCTTTTGTTTAATAATTTCTTTCTCAAACATTTCTGGTTAAGTATTGTAGATTCTACCAGTAGTGTGTATGTAGATATATACACATACATACATATATATACGCATGCATTTTTAACATAAAGTGTATATATATATATACATTTTTAACATAAAATGTATTTAATTAATGTAAAGTTTTATTTTCCGTTTCATCATACTAAGGAAAAAAAATAGTATTGTTAAGTATTTGAAGCAAATATTTAGTATTTCCACAGCATAATGTATGAGAAATCAGGAGAGAAAAATTAAAATTTATCAAAATTTATGATGAATGGTTAAAATAAACTTAATTAAAATATTTAAAAAAGTGTTTGATTTTTTTTTAATTTTAGGGTATTGCATATGAATATGAAATTTTCACTCTGTTTTACAGTTTCCAAATTCAGTTTTAGCATTTAGGAATTACCATTTTCATATTATGATAATGGTTGTAAGTACAGTACAAAGTCCTTAATCCAGACTCGTCGGGACTTCGGCGATTCCGGATTAGGGGTTTTTCCGGATTATAGATCACCAGTTTAAATCTGATAAGATGGCTTGCAGAAATTATACAATTAAAAATATCCCGTAATTTATGAAATAAAGAGCAATTATGATCTAAAGAGTATCAAAATTTGCAAAAAAAAAAAAAAAAAAAATAATAATATTTGTTTACTTAGAAAAAAATTTTATTAATGTAAGTGTTTAAGTTGCTTGTTTTTTTGTGCTAATACTTTCTCTTAATTCTAAAACAGACATAAATTTTGTTCAGTAGATAAAGTTGTACAACATTGTCAATGATAAGATAAAGCATAATAGTATTTAATGAAACTCCTGAGTAACCAGGGATGACATCCTTGGTTAAAATGCAGCAGCAATTAAAAAAGGCACTCAAAGAGAAATAACCCATATTATACTTAAATTTTATTTTTATTATCATTTAACTTTTGATTTTAAGCAGTTTAATTTGGAGAATAAGTTTATTTGGTTAAATTAGCAATCAAAACAAGAACACCACTAACCCTTAAACAGAAGAAGTAATGTTTCTGTTTATATTATTCTCATGTTTTTACATGAGTCAGTGGAAAAGAAGATTAATGTCTATCTACACTTAGTTATTTTTTTACAATCTAACAATTTTTTTTTAATGGATGCTTTAACATGTATTATTATGATTACATACTGTTGGGGATAAAATTAATTCCTAAATATAGCGACATCATGTGTCCTCAGTGTTATTCAATACAGTTTCTTTTCCTTTCTGTATTTCCCCCAAAAATTTTGCATTATTCTGAGGGTCTGTGATAGAAATTTTTTCATCATTATATATTTAACAAAGAAACTTGATTTTGATGAGTCTTAATTAATCAGCAACCCAATCAGTCTATCCCAACTGTAATATTATTGCTTTTGCATTATTAAGTAAACTCATCAAGTGTGATTTGTTGTTTGGATGTAGATGTATGCGTTTTTTCTTGTGTAGTCATTAAATAAGAACTCAAAATACATAATAAGTATTTTAGATACTAGTTATATTTAACATTTTTAACTGCATTACCAGTATTTATAGAGTTAAATCTTTTGAAATGTTATTACAAAGTCTTTGCTTCTGTTTTTTATGTAATTTTCAATTTCAAATTATAGAAACTTTAAATGGTAGTTTAAGAACAAAAAGTGGTTGTTACATGTTTTAGTACTTAATGTCTTTATTCCAGATTGGAAGCTTCAGCAGGTGCCAACTAAAATGGAGTAATTGTTGCAGTCACTAAATGATCATAGGTACATTATCATATTTTTATTTTCAGTGCCAACAATTTTTTTTTTTTTTTTTTTTCTTGAGTACTGTTGAGGCTCACAGTTAGTTACATCAAACTGATTAGATTTTTTTAAAATTCAGTATGTTCTGTGATTTATTTATTATTTGTTTTAATATAATGTTCCACATACGAGACTGTAGTTTTTGCAAAAGATATAATAGTTACCATATTTATTTCTGTGCATTATTAATAGGAATTATGGATTTTGCCTAATGTAATCAATAACTATCATATTTCTATCATATCTGATAGATATTATCTTGCTGTTATCTACAATATAAATTCAAAGCAGTTGCTGAGATAATAAATTATGTAACTTCATTTTCACTATTCAGCAAATCTCTGTGATCTGCGCTTAAAGTAACAGATTGAAACATATCATCAAAAAGAACACTCAATACTAAAAGTATAGTTGCAATTAGAAAAATAAATATCTTTTTGTGGCATCTACTCTAGGTCTCAATTTGGAATAAGATGTAATAACCTAGTGAGTAACTTCCTGTTGTAAATCTTTCAGGTTTTGTTTCTAGATCTAATAATGTCATTCCATTTAGAATGATGATTAGCAGAAATAACTGTATGCTGATGGGATCAGTTTAAATGAATGATTTATAAATTAAAGCAAAGAACATATGTTAACATACATATTTAGAATTTTTTTCAGATAGTTATGTATAAATTGATGCTCCCCCCCTTTAAACTCCCAAAGAAGTATCAGTAAAATGTAGATTATTTTGTTTTATAACTATTTATTTATTAAATGCCAGGCCATTGGCCATCAGGTCATTAAGTAATGAGCTCTCCAATATTTCTTTGCAATACAGTCCAAACTCTTAAGGGCAGAGCACATGTCCAGATGAGCAGCGTCCAAAATCACACAAAGCACATAAAGGTGAGGCAGTCAGATTAAAACGAAACAAATGAACACCAAAGCAGTCATGTCCAGTCAATGATCTAAACTCAGCCTAATAGCAAGAGGAGAGTCCGAGACACAGTGGGCTTTTAACCACTTGCACTAAAAAGATGTACCGCGCACGTCGAGATGCTTTTGTCTCAAACCGCAAGCGACGTGAACACCATGTCAATAGGCATTTATCGCAAAAATGAAAATAACGTGCCACACATGTCGCCTAACAATGAGATTGTTTATTTCTCGAGTTACAGCTTTGGATTGCACTCGCAGTCACGGAGCGGTATAAATGAGACACTTTACCGCTTGTTATATTGTAGCGCATGGCACCGCAACTGTGAAGTTTAATCGTAGCGCAAGTGGGTAATAGCACCCTCCATGACTAATTTTCAGTAGCACTAACAGCAGCATTACGAAAGGATTTTTTTTATAAATCCAATGAATTTTAAGTTTAACAGAGTAAAGAGATAGGTCTCTATTAGACTTTCCAAGAATATCCGTACCCCCTTTTTTTTTTTTGTTGTTGTTGTGTTTATAAACTAAGTAGTATTCACATGTGAATTTTTTATGAAAAAATATTTTCATAATTTCATATGAATGGTTTTAAATAATTAAATGGTTCTTATATTTATAACTCTATTAAAATTTTTATTATTTTTTGTTATTTGGCTTATAGCTATGATTCATTACCAAATGATGTGTTTTACTCACTTGAGGTATGTTCTGATCTAAGAAATTTATGTGTAAGTACTTCATGTGTTTGTAAAATATTATTTGATTAAATTACTTTGTTTATATTAATTGACCACTCAGTTTGCCGGTATTTTATTTTTGAAGTAATTATCTTTTCCATTCATGTCTTAAATGCTTGAGTCAACCTTGATTGTAGTCATATAACTTCAAAATTTGTATTTTCAGGTTTCATTTCGGATAAGAAAGACAGTGGCACCATATATTCTTTTACAATGCATAAATATACATGCAAATATTGCCCATATGCAACGCAAGATGGAAGTAATTACAAGAGACATATGCGTTTGCATACAGGAGAATGTCCATTTATTTGCAAAATTTATAATAAGAGTTTCATTCAGAAGCGCCATCTTATTTCTCATTCCTTGGCTCACCATTAATTTTTTGTTGATTAATTAACCCTTGAAAATGTGAAGAAATGATGTGTACTGGCCAGAAAATGTTATTTTAAAAAATACTTTTTAAAATATCTGATCTTAAGGTATATTTTGGGTGTAAGTGTATCAAGCCACTTTAATGTAGAAACTAAAAAATGCCAATTAATTTGCATTAGTTAATAAAAACCCAGCTGCTTGGTTCAGTTGCTGCATCTCAAAACTGGGTCCAAATGTAAAATGTATTATTTATTTTCATTTCTACTTCAATTAATTATTCATTTTTGTAATAACATATATAATTTATTTGTTCTAAAAGTATGTTCTAAAATGACAAAAGGAATGCAGTAAATTTTAACCCTCTGACCAGCCAGGGTTTTTGCTAAGAAAGCAAAAATTTCCCAAAACTACAATGAGAAAAAATTATTTTCTTGATTTTAATGTAAAAATTCTCCTGGTATTTTATATCTGGATTGGTGTACTTTTAATATATTGCCTTAGTTTCTTTGACATATTTTTAATATGCACATATATATACGTTCTTAGATATATCACAAAAAATATTTTAGGCCGTATATATACAGCCTTGCTGGTTAGAGGGTTAATGAATGTAAGTTGTTGCTATGATCTGAAAAGATCAAAGATTGGTATATATTAAATCAGTGTGTTTTTTCTCAGCTTTTTTTACAGATGTAATAGTTTTTTCATAAATAACACTTTTCAGTGCATTATGAATATCTTTGACTTTTCTTGACTGAACACTTTTATATGAATTTGTTTTATAATAGCTTAGTATTGTGTAGCTTTTATCAAATTTTTATTATATTTAATATGTGACTTTAATATTGACTATAAGTTTCATGGTAAATAATAAAATACAAACTGTGTTTTTTAGGTATCTTATTAACACAGTAATTATAGATGTAACTATGTGTAAATTGATAATTATGTTCTTACTGCAATAATAAAGTGAATTTTTGGGGGGGGGATTATTATTCATAGGTACACATGTGTTATCTTTCATGTTAGTGGTTCTTTAAACCATAAGTTTTATGTATCCATACTGTTTGAATTCATATCTTTGTTGCATTAAAATATGTATGCATATAAAATGTTACTAAATATAAAAATTAATTTTCCTGCCAAATTTAAAGCAAGTGTAAAATTAAAATTTCAGTTTGTCCTCAGTACTTATATTTTAGGTAACTTTAATACTATTTTGTTTAATAGTTTAGCTTTTGCAATGCACGAAAATAAAAAGATGCATTAGTTTCTAATTTTAAGTACAAAAATTGCATTTTATTATTTACATGTACACTTTTAAAGTTCATGTAAAGTCATTTATTATGCCCCTTTTATAAAAAATATTCCTTTCATTGGGGAAGTATACGTGTTGCAAAATTGTACCATATTGTAACTTTATATTTTTTTTTAAATTTTAGTTTCAAATATTATACTTAAGTTATGGTACTGTTGTTGATTATGTCCTTTGCAAAACAAATAAGTCTCTTTTGTTATATTTTTGTGTTGATTGAAATGTAACATGTTCTCTTTTACTTTTTCAGTTTGAATTTCTTAATCAAGTGAATATTATTTATAGAATTTTTAACTTCTACTTACAGGCTATTTCTATGGTGAAGAAAGCAATGAAACCAATATGTATTCCTTACAAATGCGTTTATTTGCTTGCAAATATTGCTCTTACACAACATCTAATAATAGCAATTATAAGAGACATACACGTGTGCATACAGGAGAACGTCCGTTTAGTTGCAGAGTATGTAATAAGAGATTCACCCAGAAACATCATCTTATTCCACATTCTTTACTTCACAGATAAGTAATTTTCTCTTCCAAAGTAAATTCTGAAGTGATATTAAAAAGGATTAGTTTCTTATGTATAGTATATGACTCTTCTAAGTAATATTATAGAGGAAAGAAGTTTATATTATAACTTTTTAATCATGTAACATGCGATTGACAAGTTTTATGAAGGCTACATGTAAAATCTGAATCATCTAAAATCTTGTTCTTGACATATTATACATGTATTTGTTAATGTATTGTTTTACTTTTAAAACTTTATTATATATATATGTATACACACACACACACACACACACGTGTGTGTATGTATACAGTACAAAGTCTGAAATCTAGACATCCATTATCCAGAATGAGTGAAAATCCGGACCTCAAACCCACCAACAACTTTTTTCTCGTAGGTTTTACGCATGTGCATTTGATCCCCACACACACACACACACAAGCGCAGAATAAAACATCTGGAGAGTCCCGATTCTTAATTGCACTTCAACACTAAATAAAATACCTTGTTATTCAATCATTTTAGCATAAATTTGATCAGTAATTTGGCTCCGTTCTGTGTATCTGCTTTTGGCACACATCTCAAACTGAAACATTCCACATAGATGCATCGTTGATCTGACACCAACCTGGCGAATCATCATTTATTATACTTTCTTTTCATCACCGCATGTTTATCAAAACATGACAACTTGAGTAATGACTCATGTAATGATGCCTAAATAATTTTTTTTGTTAGTAATTGAATAATAAAGGAGTATGTTGACATTATGCTTAGTGATGATTTAAGTTAAGTGGGCCAAAAAATGTTGATGAAAAATTTACCAAAAATTTACTTTTGCATGCTAAAAGTCTATTTTGTTGATGATACTCATAGACCCAAAGATTACATTTAGGACTATTTGAATTAAGAATAACTGATTTGTTATTCACGTAAACCCAGAACCAGTGCAGGGATCGTATGGCTGCACCGAGTCAGAGAATTTTAGGATGCACAGAGACTACATCAAGCGGTAAGATATCTAGCGCTGGCCCTAAATAAGGCTTAAGTATATGTGGGAATTTATTTATTCAGAACTATGGCAAGAAATAGACATAAGTATAATAAATAACTAAACTAACACAATTCAGGCTTAATTGTCTTAATGTGCAATGAAGCAAAATAAAATTTAATGGAACAACTTGTCGTTAGTCGCCAAGCTCATGATGCATAACCAAATATGTATAGTTGAAGGAGCTAAATTTGATGATGATAGCTGATTATTTTAAAGGCTTTCGGATATCACAAAACAAAGGTGAAATTTTCCAATTAACGGATTTTGTAAAGAAATGTGGAGAAGCGGTAATAAATGAAGATGATATAAAAGAAGTTTTTCATTGTGATGGCAATGCTTCTTGAACATCAGTCAATTAATAAATGGCAAAATCTGCAGTGTGGTTCTCAAGATCCAGAAAATACTGTTACCGATTGTGAAGAAGTGACAGAGAAGTTACTGAAAACGAAAAAATTTCGATTGACAAGTTAGTCCAAATTCTCGACATAGCAGTTACAGGACTTCAACAATTTAACTAAACAAGAGATTATGTCTGTCTACAGAATTAAAGTGAAAGTATTAGCACAAAAAACAAAGCAAATTAAAAAACTTACATTGAAAGAAATGTTTAATAAGGTAAACAAATAAATATTAAGCTTTTTTTCGTTTTTGTTTCGTTTTGTAAATTTTGATACCCTTTAGATCATAAATACTTCATTATTTCATAAATCATGACCCCTTATTTTTAATTTTATAATTTCTGTATGCCATCTTACTAGATTTAAACTGATGATCTAATATCCGGAAAAATGCCAAATCCAGAATCGCCGAAGTCCCGACAAGTCCGGATTTCGGACTTTGTACTGTATATGTGTATTTATGCATAATATTGTATGGTAAGAAGCTGACGTATAGAGCTCTCCCCAATTAAAATGCAGTCATTGCTATTTCAAATCTTCTTTATTTGTACTATGAAAATGTAAACAAGTAACATCTGATGAATTGGAACACCTGTTGCTTAAAATTCTAAGATATAAATTTTACATCATTCTACAATATAACTAGTGAATGTACAGATTGCATGTTCACTGAAGGCAGAAGCAAAAATGTGAGAATAAAATGTTAGAAAAAGCAGATTTAAGTTTGATAGTTACTGTTTGAAAGGTTCTTAATTTTGCTTACTAAAGGATATTAGTACTGAATGCTAGTGAGTTCAGCCTGTATAAGATTGGTTGAAAGTTTAGTCCTTCTATAAATATAACCACGCCTTTTCAGATATTTCTCATTTTCAGACCGGAAAAGAATGATTTATTTTATTTTGATGAACATCTCTAAGTTAATACATCAAACACAGAAGTTAACTGACATTTGCTAGCACCTGGAATAGTTTTAAGCAAACATACTCGTGAACCATATAAATATTTAAAGAAGTTTAATTCTGAATAGCTATAATTTTTTACATGTAGGTTATTTTTGCAAGCAAAGCCTGTTTGTAATAAATTTAACAACACAGAATGAGCATCCACACAACTATTTTATTGCAGAAGTACTTCTCAATTCATTGAGATACATTTAACCCAGAGTTTCGTATCTGATGTTGTGTGAGAACTGGCTTTTGTGAAAAAATTTTGCTTTCTGAAGTTATGTTCATTTTTAGACCAAAAGGGCTATTAGTCTCGAAACACGATTTTGGATTGTTTCACTTTCATTCAAGTCTATTGCCATATGACAAAACGTAAATAATATTTCATATTTAATCTGTCTGCTGTTGATGAACAAACTAAACTATTTAAAATCAATAGATACAGCTCTATTTTTTTTATTTTAAATTGTATTCAGTTGAATAAAAATACATTTAATTTTTGATGTAGCTAATTGAAAACATTAATTATTTTTACGGAATTACATTATGTATTTCTTGACTTCAAATATGTGGAAGATATATAACATTCCCATGCTATTCTTAATGTATATTCATCTAATATCCTATAAGTGTTTTGCTGTTTTACATGAGCCATATGTATTGATTATCTCTGCCCACATATTTTATCAGTCAAATTATGCACGTCCCATAGATAACTATAGGCAGTTTTTTTTTTTTTTTTTTTTTTAAAGATTAAACTGGTCTGTCATCTGGTTAAATGTAATGAACATTTAGGAAATGCCAGGCATGATTTTTACTTGAAACATAGTTTTCTCTTTGAGTTTTTCACTTGAAACACTGTCTTTATAGTGCAGCAGCACATTTTTTAAAATCATAACAGTTTATAGTAAAAAGCAGCAAAACATGTAATTAAAGTAAATGTTAAAATGTTCAAAGACGGCAATTTAAAAAATTCACAGCTTAAAATCTAGATGCTTTTCAAGCTGACTAAGGGAAAAGAGAATCATCATCATCATCAAGTTTTATCAAGTTTTAAAAAGCAAATTTATTTTATTTCTGGATGTAAGGCAGGCATATTAATATGTTAATAGTACATGTTAATATTTTCATCTTTATGGCATAAGCCCCATGAAACATTGTGACTTGATATTCCTTGATTTTTATTTCTATTTATCATAGTTAATTTTTAATCCAAAAGCAAATATTTTTCATCCTTAATTTCTGTTGATCATTGCTATTTTTTGATAGTTTTCTGTTATGCATTTGATATGCATTTGGATGGGATTTTTAATCATAAACACAGAATTAAATTTCACAGGTGCCAAAAGGCATGGAAACGGAAAAGTACCTAATTTTGTTTTTATAAATAAAGTAATATGGATTTTACGATTTGGC